AGTAAATATATTATTGACAAAACTCAACATATATATTTTTTTTGAAAAACATTTTTTTTGACATTTTTTACAGTTATTCATGTGATCTTATTGTATTGTGTACAATATTAATATTTTTAGCTTTATTTGAATTTTTGCAACCTGATATGCATTTATATAAAGATCGACATGATATTAGCCCCAAATCAATATAATAAATTAGTGCCGATTTTTCACGGATCATGTCTTAAATGACTCATAATTGGTGGCCAAAATTGTTAAATTTTGGCAAAAGTATTGATCTTTCACTGTATATACATACAAAGAAACTGAAAAAGACCAAACTTCTGAAGAACTCTGTTTAGAAGACAGAATATGCACACTATTTATTAAATCATCAAATTATATTATAGAACAAAGTAATTGAAAGTATTTTTTAAAACTGTTTTATTATATTAGATTCTATTATTAAATGTCTAGCTATATGTTTGAATAGGAACCAGCCTATAGCGATAGAAGGTTTGGGTTTAATACTTGAATATATTGGTATTTGTAGTATGTTCAGATAATAAATTTAGAGTTTTTTTGTATAAGATCAATTAATTTTTTTGTATTAATATATTTGTTGTTTATCTAAATAAAACTTGAAGATTGTTTATCATCTCATATTTATTATTTTTAGTATTTATTCCTTATATCCTTTTGTAGAAAAATGTATACTTTTTCTGACAGATATTATATAAATAAAGATATCAGTATTATAAAATGACTCAACTGCCAATTCAAAAGCTTTTTACAAATATAATTTTTAGCAGCATATAGTTTTTTTAAATTTATTAGATATCTTATCCAGGCAAATTTGTTTATGAATGCTTTATGGTATAAGGGATAATAAAAATATTTATTTATTTGTAAATTGTTCAATATAATAATATTTAAAATGCTTTTCAAATTACTATAATTGTTAGTTACATCGCCTATAATAAAATCTTTAAATTTACAAACTTTGAATAAAGACATCTGCTTTAAAAATTAAAATTGATCAAACTATAAAAAATTCTTTGAACAAAATTTAAACCTTCTTATAATAAAAATCAGTATATTAATAGATTTCTAGTTTCTATAATATAGTATGAAATTTGTTAATAATAATTTAAAAAGCAATACAGTCAACTCTCTCAAATCTGATCCTAAATAATTCTAACCCTTAATAAACTTTGCGAAAACCAAATACAAAGCCTTAGAACATTTACAAATTTTATTATAAAGTTTAGATTAGTGATATACAGTAGTAACTTTTTGAGAATTGAATTTTTTTATATTTTTATATATAAGAACTGGATAGAAAGAATTGACTGTATAATGAAAGTTACTAATAGTAATAAATAATGAAAGTTACTAATAGTAATAAAAAATATGTTAGATATTAGCTGAAATCAAGCTACTAGTCTATTGTTTTTTCTTCTAAAAAATTTATGATACTAGCTAATATCTAATATATTTTTAATAATAAATATATAATAGTTAAAGTGTTAAATTTCTAAAAGAAAAAAACCTTCTATATCAAGTTCTTTTTCATTTTTATCTCGCATTTGCTGAATCTAGCTTTTAAGACACATGACTGCATGTGCTGTATCAGGTTTTAAGTTGCAACAAATTTTAATTATAGTATTTTCTGCCATAGAAAAGCCTGTTCTGAAGGCACGCTTGAACCCTGAATACTTAGATAGCATAATGTCATATTTGCAAGAATTAGAAAATCTTTACCAAAATGATGTCACCAATCTAACGGATTTGTATTAAGATCAACTGGAATTGCAAAATATCAAGTAATTTCATCTTCAACAGTTACTTATTCAGAAGCTTGTTCAGAAATTAAAGATTCAAAAAATGACTGCTTGTTTTCTTTTAATCATAAATTTATATTAGTTAATTAAGTATCATTTTTATATAAATCTATTTTATTACGCATAAGTGCTATAGCTCTATTATGCTTATTCATATCTTTAAAAGTCTTAGCCTTAGATCGTGGATCTAACAAAGCACCAATTGTTGTTGGTTCATCAACATATTCCCAATATTCTTGAAGTTTAAAATTAATTGAATTTGCTACCAGGCATTCATCCAAATTAGTATCAAGGTGAGTTTCAAGAAAAGACTCTATATGTCGCAATAAACCAATTATAGTTAACCTTACATCGCTTATAGTAGGATATGTTGAAGTTGATAATATTTCAGTTGCTATAAAAAATGGTTCAAGTAATTGAATTAAACTATTAATTACTAGCCAGTCATCATCTTGCAAATACAAACTAGAAAGATCCTGATTTTTAATAATAAAAAGATCCAAAATATCTCTCATTTGGCAAAATTTTTTTAACATATGATATGTGCTATTCCACCATGTCTCTATATCTAAATCAGGTTTTAATTTGGGTTTATTTTCAAGTTTATAAATTGTTTTTAAAGACTCACTTAATCTTGTTGAATGCCGAATTTTTGTTACAAAATCTCGAACTTTTTTATAATTGGTGTTACTAACTGCAAACCATGTTGTACAGCAAGATTAAGTATGTGCGCTGCGCATTATTGATGAACTAACTCATAATTATTTAAAGTTTTTTTAAGTTCCCGCCCTGCAGCTATCATCGAATATACATTATCAGTCGTAATTCCCAACAACTTTTTGGTAATTTTAGCCTGATCCAATACTTGTATAAGAGCTTGTTTAATATTAATAGCAGTATGTTGTTCAGAAAGATAATAAAGATCAAGTAAAAAATGTTTTAATTGCCATTCATGATTAATAAAATGAACCGTAATATCAAGATACGATTGCATTGTAATTGAGCTCCAAATATCGCAAGTAATTGAAACTTTTTTAGCTTTCTCAAGTTCCTGTAAAATTATATTATGCATATAATTATATTTATTCAAAACCTCAGTTCGTATAGTTTGTCGACAAGGTACTTGGTATCGTCCGTCAAACTTATTTAACATTGCACTAAAATATGTATTATCAACAATAGAAAAAGGAAGCTGGCAGCAAACTATAAAATCCACAATTGTATCTGTAAGTTTCTGGTACCGTTGATCTGTTTTTGAATACGGCTTACCCATAAATTTTTCAAGTGTGCTTTGTCGATTACCAATATAGCTACTATGTTTATTATTTAGATGTTTAGCAAGCGTTCCCGGTGTATTGGTTGCCTTATATTTAAGTTTGCATATACTATATATAAATGAAATAATCTCATGCTTATTATTATATTCTTTAGAAAAATGTTCCCAAACCCAAGAAGGTTCTCGTGAAGAAAGTAAAACTGAGTTGAGATCACTTTCTTCGCTAGTATTTGTTAGTTCGACCGTTGGCTCAGTTGATGTACTTTCTGTTAAATCAATGGTATCATTAGTAGTTTCAAAACTACCTTCAGGTAATTCATTCTCATATTAAATATTTGATTCAAGCGATTGAATATTTGATTCAAACGTAGTTAGTTTTTGCTTTTTAGACATTTTTTTGATTTTTTTTTTTTCTTTTTTTTTTAGTTTTATAACCAATTTTTTTATTCATATAAAACAATTTTTAAGCTAATTTAGAACGCAATGCATAAATGTACATCAATAGATTATACTACAGTAAATTCTTGAAATAGCGGGCATCTGCGCGCTGTTTTGAATACCTGCGCGCTATTTCGAATACGCTCATGGGCGTTATTTCGAATATATCAGATTTTCTGAATAGGGATGCTTAGTAGTCCACGAAGGACTGGTTTGGACTGGGTCTAGGATCGAATTTTTTAGGGCCAGTCTGGAACTAATTCAGATAAAAGTAAGTCATGAATACTTTTGGTATTTCGCTTTCAAAATTATCTGTATTGTATATTAAACTGCTGGGTTATACCCGGACTTTTTAAGAACTGGGCCTTGATTAGACCAAACAGACTCTTTAACTTTTCTATTTTTGAACCCATTTTTTTCAAATACATAATAGTGAGGTGTGCGTTATTTCAGGATGCTCATGGGCACCCACATATGCTATTTTTTTAGGGCATGATTTTCGAAATAACGCACATGCCCACTATTTCGAGAATTTACAGTACAATTATTTTTAATAAGTGCATATTCTGTGCATATGCATAGTATCGTTTTCAAACAAACCATTTAACCAATTTTTAATATCAAGAATATATAATTGTCAAATACGGATCTAATTTTCTAAGTACATCAATGAAAACTCGAAAACAAATAAATAAATTTACAGGCGATTACTCATTGTTACTAAATGCAATTTGTCTTTATACTTGCATCAAAAATTGATCGCAATTGTAATTATTATAATTTTTTTTTTTTTTTTTTTATTAGAAAATTTTCTTGTGATTTATCTGTATAAACCCCATAAAATATCATTTTTCAAAATAACAGGCTTTACAAAAACAATTACGAAGTCTTAAATATTGTTACGGCTATCACTAAAACCAGCTGGTATTGTAATTTAAACCTATTTTATTAATAAAAATATCAGCATATTGTAATAAGGTTTATATTCAAATACTGTATAATATAAATCACTATACTCTTTTAATGCAAAGTACCCTTATCAAAATGTTTACAGTAAAATATTAAATATCTAACGAATATATCCTATGAAATTACCTGAGATACTATGATGTTATGTGATGGTGATTTAATAATATCTATACTAACAAAATTAATATATTATAAATAAAGATTCTAATGAATATTCAACCTAGTATCATACAGTGTGGTCTAAAAGACCCCCTTTTTTTAGAGGCCTAGAATGTAAAATACCCTGGGTACTAAGAACAGAATGATTAATTGTACTTGGGAATGTAAAATACCCAGGTACTAAAGATGGATTAATTGCGCTTAGTATATAAAATATTACTGAAGCACTCATATAGTGCAACTTACTATATATCCCATCTACACTAACCATAGTATCTCTCTGACTATAATACTCATATATACAGCTTAAATTGTAAAGTACCCTGGGTATTTTAGACCACACTGTACGGTACCTAAAAGATCGAATCAAAAACATATAATTAGTAATATAATTCAAATTAATTTGGGATGTATTAAAAAATTATTGTTGCGGCTGAAGCTGGAAACGGCTGAAGCTGGAAATTTTAAATATTTTATTATGAAATTTTCAAA